TAAGTCTTGGCATGGGGATGGGAAACTGAGATACTGAGGGGTTGCTGATTATTTGCCTCCCTATCCGGCCCCTTCCCGAACTGCATTAGCGCCCAGAACTACTGCTGTCTTCTTTCCTTAGCAACTTTCTACCTGAAAGAATACTTGTGTCAGGGAACGTTCGCATTCTTGAAAACCCATCCAAGCAGCTGCCACACGCCTCCTCATCGACCGTAGTGACTTCTCCAAGCGTAGCCGACGCAAATAGACGACACGCTCAAAGTAAACATAGGACACGGTCGACGAGATTTCAAGAGATTTTCATCCGCCGGGATTTGTCAAACTCGCTTCGAAAAACTCAGCAAGGCGTACAATAGTGAGGAGTGCTCGCTCGCGGAGCAGCCACTGTAGGGGAGAATCAAAGAAGTCTCTCAAGAAAAGTCAGAGAGCGGCCAAGACCGTTTACAAACCATTCAATGTTCGGATGTAGGAGCTTGAGTAGGAGCTTGAAGCGAGATGGAATATCCCCTATGAAGAAGGGTTACGCTGGAGCCCCATACTGATTCCCATAACAAAAGGACCCAGAAAGCCGAGCTCTCGGTGGGAACGGCGCTATCCTAGAGTGACAGAACATCCCAGTAAAGGCTTTCCCCTTGGGAAAAAAGCGTACTACGACTTCCTTTTAGCACTTCTCACTTCATGATTGGGTATTGGCGTCGGCGCCAGCCTGTTCTCCAGCAATTCGTTGGAACGGGCAACGATTACAGTGGATGGGAAGAGGGGCTGGGAAGCCAGCCTTCCCGACACGCAGTAGCCACTGCAAAGAGAACAGCTCGATGTCGAGTCAACAGCTAGAAATGCGAAGTTTACGCGATGTAGCACCGCTGTGTCCTAATCGGCGACCCTTGCATGCATCATGTACCTTTCAATTAAGCACATTCTGGATAGTACCGAATGCACGGAGCATACTGAAGGGATTGCTACGTAGCGACTTCCTTCCTCTATAAACAACGACAGAATTGTTATTGTTACTGATAATTGCACGGGTGACAGTCCATGCGGCTGAGTAGGGGAAAATCATTCGCAACTGAGTTGAAGACTGAAGATAATCTATACTTTTAGGAAGCTTCACTAGAAAATCAGGTGGTGCAAGCGAACCCGGCCATTGAGGCTTTTGGTAACGGAGCGACAGTAAGGTGAGTTCAATTTTTGAGCAGGAAAGATAAATTAAATGAGAAATAATCCGATATTACGGATTTGGCATGACCTCGATTATTTAGTCAAAAGGGTACAACACCTATGTGAATCCTCTCTGAAATGCGCCAAACACTTCACCTCGCTCTTGATGTTTTGAGGCATTTTGGATGTAAACGGGCCAAGGGCATAGATTTAGGCGCCAGTTTAATTTCTAGACTTCATAAATGATTATATAGTGAGTTTGTGTGTGACAGGAACGGCGAGAGGAAGACAGCTGCCGCATATACTTCTTGCGAGTTACCGAGTTACTTATGATCCCGTCAGATCAAAGAGTTCACATCCACTTGGAACGCAAGTCGCTGGGAGACGGCAAGAGAATCGTTATATCGCCTGCTTCGCCGCGCGGCAAGACGCGCCATTTTCTAATTTGCACGAAACTTTTCAATGGAGCATCGGTTATTAGACACAAGGACATGGTAGATAACAAGACACTTTTGTCTATTTTCGGCCATACATTGTCTATTCTCGACCAATACCCCCTAAAATCGTCGTCATTAGCGGGCGCGACGTCGCACGCGACGCCCACTGGCGCGGCGAATTGCGATTCTCTTGCCACACGCCCAAGTCGCACCGACCCCACCACAAGTCAGCTGGTCAACAAAATCACTGCTTAGGTCAAATACGCACTGAACTACTAGTTCGATTTCACACTGAAATCTTATGCGTAGTACATACTGAGAAGGGCTAACCAGTCTAGAACTTCATCTTTTTGTTCAGCTCGCTATCCTTTCTTTTGTGTTTCACTCAAGTATTTCAGGAACTATAACTCATCAAGGTACGGCAAATTTGTTCGAATTCACTTCGACAAGCGCGGTAAACTGGTTGGAGGAGACATTGAACACTGTAAGATTTTGCTAGCGATTTTAAGTAGTTCTTTTGAGGTTCTGTAAAATGGGAGCTTCTCAGAAGCATTGGGGTGCAAGCCCTTTCTTAAAGTCAGCCGAGGCGATAATCTGAATAGCACTAAGTGAATATCTCGTCATGGACAACTGAAGAGCGCTTGGGCTTACTGAAAGCAATCTCCTTGTCTCTCTCCCTACTTACTTGGACCGTTTATCCAACAGTTTACCGATTTTTCCAAAAAACTGCCTTTCTTAAACTATCCGTTCAGTTTAGAAAAATTCTAATCTCTTCTTAACACGGCCACCAGACGATGTACCTTCAGGGTCGATAGTTTTACTGACAGAATACATCGCCGTGACATACACTGCTATGTTGCTGTTCGTCCCCGTCATGCATAGGCGATCGACGGCGGAATTCTCCGAAGAATAAGCATTCCAGGATCTTGCTCGGAAATATCTCGTGTGATCATAACAAGCACGCTGGTGAAGCGAATCTATTCATCATACTTCTACTACCAAAGATTTTGCACGACAGAAGAAACTTTGTCGTGATGAACTTTTTGTGCATATCTGATGATTATTTTTTAATTGTTGTTATTATATGACTGTATTATACCAGACTGAAATGCATATTTTGTTGTTGCTGTTAATTTCATGATAATGCATGTCTTAACACGTCGCTTGTAAATTTACTAAGTGGGAGTAGGCGCGTTGTGAGTAACTGAGGGTACAGCGGCTCATTGCGAGGGTCCGAACCCAATCGGATGGACTAGTCTCCTTCACCCTCGTAGCCTGTTAACAAAGTCGTTGAGAAAAAATCGAAAACATATGTGGCGCCTCTCTTTCGAAACCAGCTGCCCAGAATGTCAAGCCCAGCTGTGAGATGCGGATGTTTTCGTTGTCATTTTTTCTTAAATGCGTCATGTCTATGACCTTGACAGCATTTGCAACGACATGGTTGTACGACAAAGGGACGTTAAGCTAACTGCACGAAAAACGTGAGAGAGGAGCAGTAGTAGGCCACGTAGTAGAGGAGCACTAGTATGGCCAGGTAGTACGCGCGTGCCTATTACCGTTTATACCCCTGCATTTTGTTTTGAAATGGACGGCAGTCGGTGCAGAGGAAGGCCCAGACAACATTACTGGTAGGACACAATCAACGCGGTTAATGAAGGCGGTCGGTCCGCGTTTACATGATGCCCCGGATCGAAGAAAGTGGCTACCATCGACATGGAAAACGGACCCTGGACTGGTGGGCAACGCTCAAAAGGATCGGAAGAGTAGACGGCTTTGTAAAAGTAACTGCATGTGCCAGAGAGGCACGCAAATGTTCCAACGATTCTGAATAGAACTTGGATGCTCGGCTTGTGCTTCGGGGATGAATCAACGCAGACCCTATCATAATAGTAATTTGGTTTGATCTTACCCTCAAAAGTCAGTTTATTTGACCAATCTTCATTTCAGATCACTTTCAACTTGGTGACGATATTCGTCAATTCAATTTCGTCTCTCAAGCCGAAATCACCGTTCCTGGAATGGACGACAAGGAGGAGTTCCGTATCACTGACGTGAGATATTTCCGTCGTTCAAGGGGATTTCCGTTAGCTATCTCTAGGAGATTCTTGATGAGAATATTCTTTGCAGAATTGAGGCGGACAAAGTTGCCAAGTAAGGCCAAGGCGATCACCTTACGGGAGAAAACGGCGGCCTTTTCCCAGTGTTCAGTCCTCCGTGGGGGAAGGGAGATTTTCAAAATACGACCAGGCTCGAAATTTCCTCCTCTCCTTCCATCTCCCCCCTCTTCACCCTGACTGCCATTTTCCTAAAAACTTCTCCACTTCCAACTTTTTTTCCAAGAAATTGCCGTCGAATGGAGTAGTAGGAGGGAGTGAGTGTCGTATATAGCAAGACAGGAAATACCGAACAAACTCCAGCAACTTGAAACAAGCCCCCTGAATACGACAACCTTGTCCTCCAGTGACCAAATATGATCCCCTCG